TGGACGAGCCACCAGGCACGGCTAAATCATTCGACCCGACATAAACGAGATCTGGCGACTGTGACCGAGGGCAGCGGTCTGAGCGGGATCCAAACACCTTCGATTTGCAGCAATTAGTCACGACTGAAACCACCATCGTCGACGCGACCATGTCCGACTCGATCTTCCCAGGGGCTAAGTTTTGTTTTCGACGACGAGACCGAGTCCAGGTGACGACCGATCGAGAGCATCGACGGACTGAGGCGAGTGACCACCGTTGCAGCGCCTCGCTGGTGTCCGAGCAACAATCCAGTCAGCCGTCGTGAGCTGCAACCGAGTTCAAGCAGCAAGGAGCCCGTCAGTGTCCCGTCTGCGAAGGCCGAACTAGTGAGGCCCCATCTGTATTCCTTCGGCCACCGAGAGTCGGGGTCTTGCAACGGCTGAGATGGGTTGTCCGTGATCTGTCCGCTTGTCTTGACGTCGCACCCCGACGCGAGCTGAGGCAAGGCAGCCATCACCGAGGCCTCTAATGTTCGGTTCTAATCTCTCTCGTGCGTGTATTCTTTCAAAAGAGGTAAAAAGGCTGACCTTAGATAGATTATTCTGTTTTAAAATTCCAAAAATTAGACATTTCTCTCTTTACTTTTAATTCTTGTATTGTGAGATTGTTGAAATTTGTTAGTCGACCTCAGCTATGGAGCTTTCATTGAATAAAAGAATGCTTTCTCATATATGGGTTATGGAAATGAAGCGGCCTCAGCAAGACTGTTTAGCGTGCAAGTAGAATAAAATTTCGAGTTTTTTGTTTCAGGGTATTTGTTAGTATTTGAAAGTCGGTGAAAGTGTAGATATGGAATGGTACAAGGATCTGCAGGCTAGGACATGTTTTTATCGTGTGTGTGATGAAAGACAAATCGCGGCCAGAACGAGGTAGCAATGTGATTGTATTGTTTGTTTCTGGCAATGTGAATGTTGATAATTATGGTTTTGGTTTGTATTGTAATCAGTACAGTAATGGCTGAGGTAGGTAAAGGCTATGTGATAGTTCCGGAGTCACTTGTGAAGAAGCAGAAAAGGGCCGAGGACTGGGCCGTTGTCAGGTCAAAAAAAGTTGAGGAGGCAAAGCATAAGCTCTGAGACCAGAAAATTGATTTGCAAGAAAGCAAGAGAGTATGCAAAGGACTATGAGCAACATGTTAACTTGCGTTATCTTTGGCGTCAGGAATCAAATTAAGTCGTCTTTTGTTTTTTTTCCTTTAGTCTCATATCTCATTTTTTTTTATGTAATTTTGTTGTCTAGGAGAAGGAGTTGATCCAATTGAAGCGCAAAGCTAGATTGAAAGGTGGCTTTTATGTGAACACATAAGCCAAGCTTTTATTCGTAATTAGGATCTGTTGGTAGGGTTTTACCTTGCTGCTCAATTTACGCCATATCTAGATCAACGTAAGTGAGAGAAAAAAAATTATTTACGTGTATGTTTATATGATTTCAGCATTAATGCTATGCACCCAAGAACCAAGAAAATTCTTCAGCTTCTGAGATTGAGACAGGTATTCAATGCAACTGTTATTGAGCATCCTGTTTGATCTTAATTGTCTTCATCCAATCATTAAGAGTCCATGAGTGCTAGAAATGATTTACTTTTTTATATCACTTGTCATTCCATGGTTTATTCTTCCTCTTATCTCACAACTTGCAAATTCTTCCAGATTCCAGAATTACCTTTTGGTTGTTTTGCCTGTTACTTTCTAAGTGGAGCTTTATTAATTTCATTTGGCATCATGTACATGCTATGTTAAATTTAATTTTGTTGGGATGTACCTTGTTTCAACTTGTAATCTATTACTGTAGTTGGACGCAAATTTAAATTACTTGAACTTGCAGTTACTTTTCACAAAAACAATTGAATATGTCCTTTGATTAGTTGTTTGTGCAATGAGATTAGGCCGTCTTGCTTCTTTTGAGTTTCAATGACTCCTTTCGATCTAGGAAGAGAAAATCCATACTGAAGTCTTTTGTTATATTAATTGTGTTTCTGTTTGGCCTTGTAAAGATCTTCAATGGCGTCTTCTTGAAAGTAAACAAGGCCACTGTGAACATGCTGCACAGGGTTGAGCCTTACGTCACTTACGGGTATGATAACAACCGACAGATGCAAGTAGTTTTACTTTGATTTAATCAACAATCTGAAAATGATCAACTCTATGAACTTTCAGATACCCCAACCTTAAGAGCGTCGAGAAGTTGATTTACAAGCGTGAATATGGAAAATTGAACGAGCAGAAAATTGCTTTTACTGATAATTCCATCATCAAGCAAGTTATAAATGTGTTTTCATTCAAGATAAAGTAGAAAATTTTCTCCTTTTATATCATCTTTTCTCATTTTTGTTTTGTTACTACCATTTTTACATTTAGACGCTGGGCAAGTATAGAATAATCTGCATGGAGGATTTGATTCACGAGATCATGACTGTGGGGTTGTGTATACCCAGCAAGATCGGGATCGATCTATGGTCATGGCGATATGAGCTAAAGTCGTCGCACCGGAGAACACTCGAGGAGGCAAGGATCTGATCAACTTTTCCAAGATTCCGCGTTGTTCAGTCGCCGTTGCTGATACTTCTGGAATCGCATCTGGTTAATCAAAGGTTGGTTCCTCAAATGAAGAAATTTCTCTGGTTTGAGGTCTTTAAATCTTTTTTTTTTTATTTCTACTGTAGCTTTATGATTTTCCTTGACAAATGGTTCTTCTACATGTATATGATTTTACGGAGAACTTAATAGGCTGGTTCTCAAGGAAGAGGAGAAATTTATGAATGTTTAGTGGAATAAACAACATATTTGAGTACAACTTGATATCCTGCAGTCCAAAAATGTGTGCCACGGCCACCGACGCAACAGACGCGGGCCAGTAGATCGACTCCAAAATAACGAAGGTTATTTTTAAGGTTTCTTTTCTAATAATATCATTTCATTTTTCATTTTATTTTGTTGATGGGCTAAAATTTACCCACAAAGGAAAAAAAGAACGGAATGTGTAGCTTCAGTGCGGCTAACGAATTAAGTTAGACCTTGGTTTAAAGCTCCTCAACATTATGGAATTGATCGGTTTCTATAGGTTTCTATATCACTGTAATTTTCGAACAGAGCCCCGATTTTTAAACCGACAACAAATGACTCATTTTTCTGTTATTATTGTAATGTTACTTTTGAAGATTTTTCTGTCAGTGCATCAATTGTTATTGTACTTCTGTAATCACAATGCGAGTGTATAAAACGTACGAATACATATACACACTTATATGCCATTAGCTCACTGCTTTTTTTCTTCACTTTTGCTGGAGCACATAAGACTAATTTTCCAAAATCAATCATGGGTAGTTAAAATGATTAGTAGGTGTTTTCAAATTGTTCACGTGAATTCGGCTTTACATGTTGGGTATTTTTTTTTCCTTCTATTGTGCAATTAGGCTTTTCAGGTTGGGTACATTTGTGTTTGTTTGTGTAAATTGTGGTGTTGTGAAATTAAATTAGGGTTTTTTTACTGGGCCTTGTGCTTGCAGTTATCATGCTGGGGATAGCGAGCCATTAATAAACACCAAATGTTCGCAAGAGTAATAACTAAATTTGGGCCGCACAACCGAAAACCATCTAGTATAAATATATATATATATATATATATATATATATATATCATATCTTGCATAGACTAATACAATTATATTCAAATAATAATTATATTATTCTTTTTACTAATAATTCAACTACAATTATACTCTTTTTACACTTTTGTATAAAAATTTTTCTAGTTTAAATGAATTGAATCTACTAATATATAATAAGGATTAACATAATTCACTTTTAGAAATACTTTCCCGCCAATTCATTAATTACCTTCTATATAGAGAAATAGCACACAAGTGAATCATTAATTGCTGGAGATAATCTAGCAGTTAAAAAAAGAAATTCTAATTGCTGGAGATACTCTATCCGTTAAAATAGGAAATGAATTTGTAATTTACTTTGTCAAATTAAGATTTTGAGTTAATCCTTCTATAACACGTTTGTGCGGACGGAATGCATAGATACAACCTCAAATGATTTAAATGAATGATTTTTTATTTTTTTTATCCAATAATACTTCATCAACATAAACATTAACTAATAAAATAATAATTGGCCACATATTATTACCTAGGTATATACAACCTTGAATCAAATCACACAGTACCTCAGTTCACTTTAATGTATAAATCATTAGAATAATAAAGAATAAAAATTTTATTAATAACAGATATGATTTTATTTTTTTTCTAATTACGATGTAAAAATACTTTTTAATAAAAGTAACAGGCTTCATAATCTATATATATTTGATTATTTTTATTCCTTTAGTTTAAATCTATTTGTTTATAAATATATATAAAATTATATTGTACTCATATCGGCATTTTCTATTAATAATTATCATTTAAACAACAAAAGATCATTTACTCTACTACGTGCGAATATTTTGTTTTGTTTAATATTGTAAAATTAAATTCAACATGTTTTGAATGGAAATAAATCTAACGTAAATTGAGAGTAAGAATCAACAAGATAAATACAAAAATTCACTAATCATGGTATTAAAAAAAAAAGAGTGCTATTATTAAATTGATAAATACAAAATTTGATCTTTAAGGGAAATCTGATTTGCATGTTTCTATATACATACAAATAAATATCATATTTGAAATTTAAAATTTTCATTTTTTCACATATATTTATGTAATATATACAACTTAAATAATCATTTAAAACTAAAAAGATATTGTAAAGATTTCATTTCAAAGTTAAACAAAGAAAGGAATCAAATCGGTCATAAAACAAAACTAAAACAACAAAATATATAAATAAAAAATTCACTAATCATGGTGACAAGTTCTTAAAAGTACCCCAATATTCCGTTCACTATTTCACTAATCATGTGTTCGATTACATTCTAAGTTATTCAAAGAATGGAGTCAAATATTTCTATATAAAATAAGAACAAGGTTAAATCATTTTTCGAAAGAATTTCTTGCCAGAATCATTAATTAGATACTAAAAAGAGTAAGTTATATGTATTTCTTTTTAACTTTTTTCAAATAAAAAAAAAAACACTAAATACACTGCCATAATCTCGATTGTTCTTTGTCATACTCGGTTTTCGTTGTAAAAAAAATATTTTCGAATTTTGTATTGTGAACATTTTGAATCTAATTAAAATCAATTATTTTATGGTAATGATTTTGTTGAGTGTATTTTTTTATTCATAGATGATTTTAAAACCACCGATTAATAAAATGAAATCTCATTCTAATTATGGACAGTACATATATTTTTTATTGATTTTTTAAACAAAATTTAAAACTGCAATGGAATTAAACAAGTTATATTCTAAATTTTATTTTGATATTTTTTTAAATAAAAATAAGACATAAAATTGTAATATAAATAACTACAACTGTTCGATCATTCTCATTCAAAACGTCACAAATGTTTTTTTGAATAAATAGCATTCAAATTTTCAAGATACACGATCAACATTCAAGCTTATCATTTACATATACAATATATATATATATATACATATATATATATATATATATGATTTTTATATCCTTATTTATCACGTGAAAGAGTTAACATTATGAATCCAAGCAAAAAAATTATTGTCTTATTCAAAAGAGATATACACAAGATCCATGCAAAATGAATTATAAATATACAAAAAATAATTTATTTATTAAATACCTTAAAAATTATTATTTACATGTCATTCGATTCATTTAGTTAGTTTTGAAGTATAAATTATATAATATTATTTTTTTCAACGTAATTATTTTTATAAATATTATTTACAATAGATACCATCGAAATTCCCAATCTCTATTAAAACATAATAAAACAAAATGTTCAAAATATTATAGTTGATTTGGAATAAAAAATGAGAACGATTAAAAAAAGATACTATAACTCTGCACTTTAAGGTAACAACTTTTCTTATATTCCATATAAAATTAAATTTCACCTCATAAATCATATCTTTAATTTTTGTCACATTATTACATATTTTCACTATAATTTTATTTTGTGGTGTTGGCATTCCAAAAATCAGCACAGAATTAAAGAAATGAGATGTTTATCAATTACCAAGTGGAGAGAATATCATTCCACAGTTGCCAAGTGCCAAATGATTTTGCATGAAAAAATGATGAGACTTTTAATAATGTATGACTTTTTTCTTGACGAACATTTTATGATTAGTTGACTAATCCTCTATATCATAACTTATATTAGTAGCCTTCTATTTATAAATTTTACCAAAAAAAAATACAGTCCGTGCATCGCACGGGGTACGTACTAGTGTCTGATAAATACGTAAAAACATAGAAATAAGTAAATTTTGAAAAATAAGACCATATAAAGTATGTTTACTGAAAAGAAGAATTATCAAAACTACTAGTATTGAGTAAATCATTGATGAAATTCATGAGTTGAAAGAACGTTCAGTCGAAATTTGTTACTGTCAAAGTTTGAAACTTATATAATTTATATTGCACTATTATTATCATAATATAATTATGTTATAACACAAAATATATAACATATATTGCATTGTTATTATTATATATTTATTTTACAATGCAACTTCCTATTTTTATATAAATTTAAGCAATTGTATGATTGTTAAAAAATACATAGTCCCCCCTCAAAATAAATTTCTGGATCCGCCCCTATTATCCCCTCTAGTTATAGGTCACAAACCATCACATTTATTCTGAATGTTACATATTGGCCCATGAAAAGTCGGTAGTGTTTGCAATGTTCCGAAAATTCATCCTAATAGATGGATTACTCTATAGGACATTAACATATCAAATACATATATAGATGTGATAATTTTTCCTTGAAAATATTGAATATGGAATCATCCCCAGTTCAAGAAGTCGTTGTTGTAGCAAATTATTTTTATTTTTACCAAGAACCGAATCAAAAGATTCGTTCCCCGGGTCGATCTCTCAAGGAAGATGGTTCAGAATTTAGCGTTGGTATTGATCACACACGAAAAGAAAATAAATCTAAAACATTCTAATCACGGTTGATTTGGAGAATTAACTAAAACAAGCCAAAACTAGAAAAACAATTTAAAGAAATAACAATTAAATTTCTAGAGAAAAAGAAGAAGTTCTAGGGGTCGGGAAATCTCATCAAGTCTTAAAGTATGTTGAATGATAACGGGTCATCTGTGACCCAGGAATCCCAGATACGGGAATCGGCTAGGGCTTACTTCCACTCTCTCTTTTTCTCTGAGCGGGATTTGCTTACGCACCCCGACCCGACCCTCTTTCCGACCATCCCGCAGTCGGTCGATCTTGTTGACCTCTGTGACCTCCCGAGTAAAGAGGAAGTCAGGGAGGCTGTGTTTGGGATAGATCCCAACAGCGTCTCCGGACCGGATGGTTTTTCGTCCCTCTTCTTCCAGTCTTGCTGGGAGATTGTGGGTACTGATGTAGAAGAAGCTGTGAGGGATTTTTTCTCTCGCCACC